AAAAACGATGCGTTGACATGAAAGTTTTGGATTGAAGTCCATCCATACAAATTACTAATTTAAGGTGTAGATATAGGTTCGTGGGCACTCAGAGTGAAACATTCCTTTTTTTAGCTTTTTTCTTACCCAGACAGTCTTAGCCAGATAATGTTGAAATTTCGCAGCATTGTCAATGCTGAAACAAAAAACGATTTTAAAATATAGCGAACTGAGGCACGTGTATGTGATTATAAGTCCTAGAAGTTTGTTTAAGCTGCTCTTTGATTGACTGTTATTGTTATCTTTGATTGTCACTGTTGATGTTATAAGCAAATGAGTTGTTGGCCTCAGTTACGATGCGGCGATGTGTGACTTCCTGTCCTGGACCCTGTTTACTTATCTCAAGCGCTATCAACTAGCCTTGCAAACTACAAATTAAAAAACAGACAAGATGTAGACGCCCTCGCACAATGTGGATGATTGGTTTAGGGTTGACGTCGTGCATCATAATTACCTAATTTATATGATAGTCAGCCAATTTTTAGCTTTACCGGCATTATTGCAAGAACTAATCATTGCATTTTCAATTACACTTGGTACGTTGATGCTCGAAGACAATTCACAGGCTTCATTAGTAAAATTCAAATACTTACTTACTTTACTTGGGCCCTTTGCCCCAGTCAGAGCATAGGCCAACGATGATCATCCTCCATTGTACTCGTCTCTGGGCCTTCCTTCTCAGGTCGTTTCAGCTGTTACTGATGCTCATCATCTCTTACTCAGTGTCTCTTCTCCAGCTGTTCTTAGGCATTCCCCTCTTTCGCTTGCCCTGTGGGTTCCAGGTTAGGGCCTTTTCTGAGAGTGTGTCCTATCCAGGACCATTTTGTCTTGAGAATCTGGCTTACCATGGTTCTTGTCCTGCTCTTTCCCACAGCTCCAGGTTGCTGATTTTGTATGACTATTTGATCTTGAAGATCCTCCTCAGACAAGTGTTAATGAAGGTTTGTATCCTGTGATGTGTTGCTTTTGTTGTTCTCCAGGTCTCAAATGCGTAGAGCAGTATTGATTTGATATAGAGTTGAAGATGCAGAGTTTCGTAGTTGTACGTATTACCCTGGAGGCCCAGACATTCCTCAGCATGATGAAAGCTGCCCTTGCTTTCCCTATCCTGGCTGTAACATAAGGATGTGCCCCCTTGTCGGTCTACCACACTTCCCAGGTATACAAAGGACTTTGTCTCCTTCACTTCTTCCCCACCAAATCTGACTAGTGCACTGTTTGTAGTGATGCTTTTCATGAGTCTTGTGCTCATTGACGTTGTGTCCAGATGAGCTGCTTTATCCTGCATCTGTTTGTGGTTGTGTGAGAGACGTGCCAAGTCATCTGCAAAGTCTAGATCCTCTAGCTGTGTTCAGAGTGGCCACTGGATCCAATTGTTCTTCCTTTTCGTAGTTGTCTTCAAGACCCAGTCAATAACCAGGAGGAAAAGAAACGGTGACAATAAGCATCCCTGCCTTACTCCTGTGTTCACATCAAAACTTTCTGTTAGCTGTCCTGTGTGTGCTACCCTGCACTCTGGATTAGTGATATGAACTTCTGTGGTATCCTGTAGTGTCTTAGCATCTTCCACAAAATGGATCTGTCTATGCTGTCAAAAGCCTTCTCATAGTCTATGAAGTTGATGTATCCTCGGGGGCGGACATCCGGGCATTTTCACCGCCTGGCAACCCGCGGCGGTGAAAACAAAGGCCCAAAACTCGCAGAAAACGGTACTTTGGGGTGATTGTTGAGACTCCTCTGAACAGG